CCAATTGAAGTAGAATATTCTGTAACCATGGAAACGTGATTTTAGGTATGTCTTTAAAACCCAGTAATTTTTTAAAAGTTACTCCAAAATTCGGTTGAAGATGAAATGGAACTAATGCTTTTAATTTAATTGCAAAATTAAATTCGGGGCGTTTAGCTTCTATTTTTGAAACATGGTTAGAACTGTGTAGCGGAAAAAAACATATTTTAAATCAATTAATTTATAATATTAATGCTCTGTAAATTTACATTGAGCACTATTTTGTAAAAATAAAAATATCTATAAGAACACCGGATTATATATCTTACTGTTCTTTTCTTTTTTTTTTATTTATATATATATATATATATATATATATATATATATATATATATATATTATATATATATATATGTGTGTGTGTGAAAAGTTTGCATATAAAAATAAAATATATATATATATATATATATATATATATATATATATATATATATATATATATATATATATAATATATTATATATTATTTATATATTATATGCGCGGTACTTATACATGAATATGTCAAGTCCCATACTGTCCACATATGTTTATGTCTGTATGAGCCCCGACGGACGAACGAGTGTGTATGTGTGTCTGCGTACATCAACGGGTGTACGAACATGCATCTATGTTTGCGTTAGCATGAATGAAATCACGATGACGATTCCCCCCCACTTCCATAATAACACCAATACACGTAATCTACATAAATTCAAAATTTTTAAAAATTAATCAGTTTGTCTGATGTTCGCAAAAGCGTGAAACCCAGGGTCACAAACTCATTCAATCCAACCAAATATATATATATATATATATATAATAGACATTCGTTGTCTTTTATATTTAACAATATATATACAAACATATATTGTTAAATATAACAGACAATGAATGCATATTATGTACTAGCAGTAGAGCCCCGCGTTACCCGGGGATGTAACAGTGAGAGATAGATCAAGTATCGACCATCATAAAGACTGAAAAATAAAATTGACAAAGATTATTGTTTAAGGTTGACGGATACGCATGTCTTAATTAGTATTTTTTTTTACGTATTGGTCAAACCCAAAGTTAAACAAAAATATTGTTTTCAATCATTATGAGTCTACCGATTGAATAGAATTTTATTATAAACAATTGTCTTGTAAATGAAATTTTTAAAGCATTCTGAATGTAAAAATAAAGAAAGAAGTGTGCAAGACAATAGGAAACACTACCTGCCAAAAAAGAAGTGAAGTTTTGTTGAAATCGGTTGAAAAATGTAGGAAATCCGATCCCATATATAAACGAACACACACACACACAAACAAACAACCAACCTGGGTTTTATAATAAGTATAACTCGATAACTCGATATTAATAAGTATAACTCGATATGAGTTGTCCCCCTTTCATTAATGCCTCTTAATCGTGTTTTCAAATTGATTTCGTGCAAAAACAATTGTGCTTTTCCAATTTTTGGCACTGTCAGAACCACCGCAAGGTAATTTTACGTAGTCCTGTGAAGTTTTGTTGAAATCGGTTGAAAAATGTAGGAGATCCGATCCAATGTATAAACGTACAGACACACACACACACAATCTGCGTTTTATAATAAGTAAGATGACATAGTAGAATATCATCTTTGATATTGAATATCTTTGTTTAAATTTTCATATAACCACTCTGAAGATGGCTCATGTCAGCTCAAGGACATGTTTTCTGTTTACGCGTTATTTTTATAGATACAATTTATTTAAGTAAATGCTCTGTATTTTTTAATTAAATAATATTGATTACATTTACCAGCCTGTATGTTCGAGAAATTTTGTAGAAAATATGCGTTCTCTGACCAGTAGAGTTTTGTAGAAAATATGCGTTCTCAAACCAGTATTCCTATATAGAAACTGTTATTTGATCTGAAGTGCTGTACCATACTGAGAAGTGGCTGGTTAGTAAAGTTCAAATTACTGTTTTTAAACATACTATCGGTCATATCTGTTCACGAAACGTAAAGAATGACAACATATAATGAAAAGGATTAAGTCCGACAATTATTTAATATATTTTTTATTTACGTTACTTTTATAGATACAATTTAAGTAAATGCTCTGTTTCTTTTATTAAAATAATTGTCGATATAACTTTTACACACGCACGTGTATCACCCACATAATTCCTAACTTGTAATGGATTCTTCTTTTTGCATGCATACACGTGTATTTTTCTCTTTTTTTCTCAGTTATATAAAAACAAAAATATAAAATATTCTCTTGTTGAAATTCATTCATTTCCTTACATTCGTCATTTATTTGTGTTGTGCAAAATAAATATGCCATGTTAATTTCAGGTTTCCTGTTTGCTGTTATTAATATTATAATAATATTCAGAAATCACATTAGGCAAATTGAGAGCTACTCATCGTATTGCATAGATAGATAGATAGATAGATAGATAGATAGATAGATATACAGTGGGCGGAAACAAATATTCGTACACATACAAATTGTTAATTTATTGTATTTCCAACTTATGAATAAACATACTTTTCATATAATTATCTCTACACAGATGTATAATAAATATGCAAAGAAAACAAGAAAAAAATTGATTTAATAGAAATAATACCTATTTTTTCCATTTTAATGTGTGAAAAAAAAGTATTCTTCCAATACAAGAAAGAATACATAATCTTCATTTAATACTTTGTAGAATAGCCATTATTCACTTCTACAGCAACTAACCTCTTCTTGTAGTTCTCAATTAATGATTTGAAAATTTTAGTTGATATTTTGTTCCATTCTTCTCCGCATATGGTCTTCAGATCTGGGATGTTTGTTGGAGCTCTCGATTGGATTTGCATTTTCAAGTAACGCCATGGATTCTCGATTGGGTTTAAATCAGGGAACCGATTTGGCCATTTCAGGATATTTACATTATTTTTCAGCAAGCCATTTCTTCGTAGATTTTGCAGTGTGCTTAGGATCATTATACTTGTTGGAAGATCCAATGAGGAGAAAGTTCAAAATTTTCAACCGAAATCATTAAATTTGCTTCCAAAATATTTTGATATACTGCGGCATTCCTTCTACCATCTATTACTGATATGTTGCCAGGACCTTTTGCAGAAAAAAAATACTAAAACCCTGATGCTGCCATCACCAAATTTCACTGTTGGAACTGTGTTCCCCTGTTTGAAGGCATCGCCATTTTTCCTCCATACATAGTTTCTAGAATTACTTCCAAACAACTCATTTTTGGTTTCGTCTGCCCATAATACTCTTTCTCAAAACAATTTTTTCTTATTTTTATGTTCACGAACGAATTTCAACATGGCATCTCTGTGTCTTGTTATTAGCAGTGAAGCTTTCCGAGGGGATCGTGACATTAAATTGTTCCTTATGAATTTCATTGCTTATTGTCTGTTTAGTGACACAGATTTCTGATGAAAGCAAATCATCCCGCAACTCCTGACGCGTAACGATTGGATTTCCTTTAATTTGAAGTGGAGCACCTGTTCTTCTTTGGTTTTTCAACAGTTTTTAGTTTTTATACCTTGCAATGAATGAACTAATGGTAGCAAATAGAATTTTAAGAATGTCTGAGATCTTCCTGTAACTTTTACCTTCTTTCCAGAGCTTAACAATCACTTCTTTTTGCGAATTTGACAATTCTTTACCTCTTGCCATGAGGAAAACCTTCTTGCACGAATATCAATTACAGAAGGTTCTGTTTGGGCTAAAAATAACTACTGATAACATTAGTGAAACATTCAAGAGTATTCCTCTTGAATAATCTAGAGAATTAAAGCAATTTAAAAGTTTAAAAATCTGAAATTTACATTGTACGAATTAAAATGGATAAATGGGATTTATTTCTCTTCCATCTTTTTTTTCTGTTTTCTCTGCATATTTCGTTATTACGCATCTGTGTATATTTAGTTATATGAAAAGTAGGTTTAGTCATTGGTTAGATTAACAAAACATAAAAAAAATTATGTGTACGAATATTTTTCCTCTCGCTGCATATATATATATATATATATATATATATATATATATACACACACACACACACACTCATTAGTTACTAATATTTTATTTTAAATCAATTGTTGATTGCTGGTTGTTTTGTTTAGATGTATATGAATATCTCTATGGGATTTTTAATGCCGAAATTTAAATATTTTGTATGCAACTTTATTTTTATTTCTTGATGATACTCGTGGTTTAAATGATACAAGTCGTACTAATGTTGAACAGTATGCTGGTCAGGTATTTACAATGAAAAGCACGTGTGTCGTGGTATACACACACATATATATATATATATATATATATATATATATATATATATATATATATATATATATATATATATATATACCCCAAAACAAAATGGAGGACTCGGAATGCGAGTGCGGGTAACTAAATGGACAGTCACAACAAACCTATATATAAGCAAACGACAATGTATGGATTAACGAAAAAAGGTATAAATAGACAATAGGAAATTTTTGCGTGTTACAAAACTATGAGCATGAAAGAAGCAAACATTTAAACTAGTGAATTGTTTATGTGTGTGTGTGTGTGTGCGTGCGTGTAGTTTGGTGTAGGTGAAAGTCCAAGAAAAAAAATGATGTGAAGAGTGCGTACGTGCGTGTGTGTGCACACGTCTGCGTTCACCAGTGGGGAAAGCGTTTTCCTCGTTCGACCTACATCGTACTGTTCCTGAGTGATATAGGAAAAAGAGGTTGACAAGGAATTTTACGCCCTATTTATAGGTTAAAGGCGTGTCCTCTAGCGGTGGTTTTTTTTAGAAAAGTAAGTGAAGTAACTCCATACTAATTAATCCATATCTCGGTAAAGGATGAGTGGATTTATACTTTATCCAAGGGTATTTGCACATAAGAGAATATAACGAAGCCAACTGGATTAGGAACTCGATTCTCCCATTAACAATTCCGAGCCATTATCCATTACACCACCCACACACCCACGCTTACATCACCTAATATTCCCAAATGGTCACCCATCTAAGTACTGACCAGGCCCGATGTTGCTTACTTTCGGTGATGGTATGAGAACTGGTGTTTCAACGTGATGTAGCCGTATGCCTCATCAGTTGGAAGAAATCTATGAGCTTAAAAGAGAAACAAAATATTATAATGTTATTAAGTGGTATTTGAACAACGCAGATTTGGGGGGGGGGAAATGTTGAATCAAAATCACGGAAAAAATCATTTAACGCAAAAGAATAATATAAGAACGGCTTTAAAAAATGCAAAAGAAATTTGAAAAAATTAAAAATGTAATAAACAAGAAACGCAAATGAACCAGCAAAAATTAGCGTTTCAAACGAAAACAGAGAGAAAAGTTACAAATTATAAGAACATCGCTTAAAGACAAGAATGTAACCAAAATACTACATTTTAGTAAAAGTTACAAAGAGAAACTTGTAAGTTAGGGGAATTATAAGAAAACCGATTTCTTAATATTAATTTTAGCTATGATAGAATGAACCTTACAGTGGAGCTATTTAATGGGAGGAATGAACCAATATGACCTAGATAATATCAAGGGAGAAGTACAGTAACGTTTTTAGCAAGTTTTGTTAACTCTAAAATTATAGTTCCATTAAATTTAATGATGACGTCAAGATTAATGAAGAAATTTATTATGACCTTTTTTTTAACTATTACGGGCCACAAACCAAGAAGAATATTCCTGCCGGACAATGATTATTGTCCACCTTGCTAAAAAAGATCTCAAGGACCCAAAATCAATGTGCTATAGCCTTTCCAGTTATTAATCCAATAGAAAGTGTAGTCCATTGTTAAAATATATTTCTATAAGTACTTAAAAGTACTCAAAGGGAAGTGATTAAAAACTACTGCAAAGAAATATTACGTTAACAAAAGATATGATTAGAAAACTAATGAAGGTTATAGAATGTCAAAGTGTCCATAATAAAATATAACAAAAATAATAATTTATTCAGATATATGCGGCATTATGCTATGTTTTATCGATATGCCTTGGAATTTATTGAAACTGATTTATAAACCAAGGCTATAAACTGGAGGCTAATCAATAGCCTAGCGGATTAAAGATTTGGTTTGCGTATTTGGTGGCATTATAATTGTGGATTACACTGGGCACGATAGTACACTCTTTCAGGCTGAGATTCAATGCAAAAAGGATTAGCAATATCTGAGGAGTATTTTCCAAAAAGAATGAGACGATATACCCATAAACATTGTCAGCGGAATAGGAAAATAATTCACAGTAATAATAAAATAAAAGGCTTTGTTCGAAATTTCATGAATTTTACCCGCATCGACAGAGGCCCGGAGAAACCGGAAGAAACAGCGTTCGAAATAATAAAAAGAAAGATGAGAACAGAAGACCAACTGTAATTGATGATAATTCCTCATTCCAGAAATTCATATGTAAAGAATTAAAATCTATATTACATTGAATGTTTACATAAAATCGGTCACTACCAAAACAAACTATTATTGATATATTTAAAAAGGAAAGCTATAATAAGATGAAAGCCACGTGATATAATGAGCACCTAAATATTAATATATCATGAAAATGTAATCGAAAATATTAACATGCATAATAAAATGTGATATTTAATATATAAGTATTGAGGTGCGTATCAAAACACATACACACACACACAAACACATACACACGCACACACACACACATATATATATATATTAAGACAATTTTGTCTACTTATTTTTAATAGGATCCTCTCGTAATTACGGACTTAGTATCATTATTAAAGGAAGAAAGAAAATTACCATGTTGATGCATATTCATTATATTTCAAGTACTTTCGATATTAGTACAATATCTTCATCAAGGCCTTCTTTTTTCTGAGACAAAATCGTTGTGGTCGTAATCTCTTTCGCTTTTTCCTTCACGCGAGATAGATAGATAGATAGATAGATAGATAGATAGATAGATAGATAGATCCAAGCTGAAATATAATTACATTCGACATTCCATTTAAAGATGGAATTATATCAAAATTTTCTAACGAGATGAAACTCATCAGATCTGTCCGCACAACATTGACATTATTATCTGGATTCAATTTGAATAAATCGCCTTCAGTTTAATCAAGCAATTCCTTTTCACTTCCATTCATTGAACAGTGATTCAAATATTCTGCCCGAAATATGTCTTAGTCCGCAGAACAACGTGTTCTCAAGATTCCTTTATTGTCTAGTAGTTCAGAACCAATAACCCTTTATTTGATATTTACGAAGATTAGTTAGTATGGCACAAGGCCAAAATGACAAGAGATTAAGGTAGAAATACTGTAGAATCTTCAGTTGTATGATTCAGGCCAGCGATCTGAATCGAATGCGATGTCCAGCAGGAACCTTTGATCTAAGAGTTGATATGTGGTACCCCCAATATATAATAACAGCTAAGTTTGTTATATTTATTTACACGCAAACAAAAACAGCTAACTAGAATCTATGGTTGGTAGCAAAATAAACAGTCCAACATGTAAATTACAAACTAAATCAAACAAGTACAACAATTTAAATATCGGACGGAAAGTGTGACACTGAAATCGAAAAGCTCATTTCGACAGCGAAAGATGATTTCTAAAAGCTAAGCAATGTATTAAGAAATAGAAAAATCTCGTTAAAAACAAAAAAAGAGTACTGAACAGTTATGTAATATCAGTCCTTCTAAATGACAGTGAATGGTGACCGATTGGGAATACCAGGTTGCTGTAACGTTGGATGTGCGGGTGGTGTAATGGATAATGATTCGAAATTGTTCATCGGAGAGCCGAGTTCCAATTCCAGTAGAAGTCGTTATATTCACTTATGCGTAAATACCCTTAAGAAATGTAGAAATCTACCTTTTCTCCCCCAGCTAGGGTATGACTAAACTATTATCTTAAAAAATGAATTCCTAGAATCTAAAAATTATTTCCTGGCTTTAAATAACATATAAAGGATCGATAAGCCGTAGATAACGAATCAATAAACAATAAACAAGTCTCCGAATTAAATCCTGCCTACCGTGGCTACCTGCTTTTAAAAAACAGTATTTGTTATAATTGCTTTCAAGCGGGGGAGAGTGAATGTTTTAACCGAGTAATTAAATCCCAAGCTACATAATAAACATCAATCTTCAATTGTATGATTCAAGCCAGGGATTTGAATCGAATGCGATGTTCAGCAGGAACCTTTGATCTAAGAGCTGATATGTGGTGACCCCAATATATAATAACAGATAGCAAAGTCTTGTAATTGGTGTCACCTCAGAACCTCAAAAGAGCTAGGTGCCTTAGAGGGTTGACCTAAAAGGAAACCTCATAGCTACCATTCGGGCATTTAAAGGATGTTGGTGGCTACGTCTGCATTAAACAGGAAGTGAATCCAGCTGAACTTTAGATATGCGTACGCAAAACAACCTGATAACATTAAATTAGATATGTGACGGTTACACACCTGGCCCAGGGTCGAATCCCTTGGTTACGGCGCCAACTGTGACGTCGCTCCTCCTGGTCGCTCCTCCTGGTTCCAGCGTGCCGCTCCAACCCCTTGGTTGATGATCACCAGCCTCGCCTTTCCCAACTCGCTCCCCAATACCTGGTTACTGAAGCAACTGTACTGATCTCCGGTCTGTCTACCCACGCTGTGTTTAGATCTTAGACAGACGGGACCAGCAGGATTGGGGCCGATATGTTGAGTCCGACGGGGTGGCAAAACACAAGTAAAAGAAAAAAAACTCACGAGACAAAAATTACTGATAAAAAAGGGTGACAAACTTTTTATATCTAATGTCCGTTACATAAAGAAAAATTGTTCTTATTTCCCGACCTGCTTTGTGGACTATGGGCACCAAGCCTCTATCATACAACTTAAAGATTTCGAGTTGTCTACTCTTCAGAATTATGTATGTCGGAGTGTGGTTTAGTTCGACACTGGGGCTAATTTCTATCGATCATTCGCAGTTGATTCTTCTCTTCGACTTGAGTTGTATTTTTCTTCTTCGTCGACTAAGATAGAACTTCTCTTGTCTTCGACTTGGCTGCAACTTCTCTTGTCTTCGACTTGGCTGCAACTTCTCTTGTCTTCGACTTGGCTGCAACTTCTCTGCGGCTTTCGAGTAATCTTCTTCTTCGTCTGCTTGGGCTGGAAGTTCTTTGTCTTCGACTTGGGCTGGAAGGATTTCTTGCCGCAACTCAGCCGCAACTCTCTGTCGTCCGAGGTGATCTCTTCTCGCTGCCGTCCGGGGCTGAACTCTGCCGTAACTCTGCCACAACTCTTGCTGCCTGTCTGGCCTGCAATTCTTCTTCTTGTCTGCCTGCAATTCTTCGGCCTGTCTGGCCTGCAGCTCTTCTTCTTATCTTCGACTTGGCTGTAACTTCTCTGCGGCTTTCGAGCAATCTTCTTCTTCTTCGACTTGGCTGCAACTTCTCTGAGGCTTGCGAGCAATCTTCTTCTTCTTCGATTTGGGCTGGAAGGATTTCTTGTCTGAGGATTCTCTTGCCCGCAAAGGGGCGGAGTGAATCAGGGCCGATGCCCGCGTTCAGGCTCTATCCCCTGCCCGCGGTCCAGCTGCAACTCCACTCCAACTGATTTCTGTCGACTGGGGTCCTGCTTTTTATTGACGCCGCAACAAACTGGGGTGGGTCTGTCGGCGTCAGGGTTTTCTCGATAACTCCAAAGTCGCATTATTTTGATTTCCCATTATCGCTATTGTTTTCACCCCTACTTCCTCACAGTGCCCTTTGGTGGGGGGGCGCACCCATCTTTCCCGGTCCCTCGTATGTCAGGTGACCGCTCTCGACCAATGATTCTTGATCGAGCACTTCTTTCTCTTCTTTTCCGCAGATCACGTGACCGTTTCCGACCAATGGTTCTTGATCGAGCATCCTTTCTCTTCTTTCCGCATATCACGTGACCGCTTTCGGCTAATGAGATTGTGGTTGGGCGTGGTTTACATCGTTCTTGTTTTAAAAAACAAAATCTAATTTTGCCTTTTTTTTTGCACGTACGAAAAATGACAATCTTGGCTTTTTTCTAACCTGGGCTCTGTCAAACAGCCTGCCGCTAATTAG